AGGCGAGCGGGGTGACGGCCGTGCTCTACCCGCATCGTCGCATCAAGGTTACTTCGTTAATAGCACCAACCGATCAAGACAAAGACAAGCCCGCCGCGACGGATGACAAATCCGCGGAGAAGCGGGGCGATGTTGTGGCCAGCTTCGAAGAGGGCGCGGCGGAGCCTGCCCCCAAGGATCACTACGAACCTACCTCATTCTTGCGAAAATACCCCGTCAGCTTGGTCAATGTCGAAAACCAGGTGGAAGAACCCTTCGACAAGAAGAGCGCCATCATCCGCGCCGTGACAAGTGAGATTGTCAACGTCTGCAAGGAGATTGCCAGCCTGAACCCGCTATTCCGCGACCAGATCTCGGCCTTCTACACGGACCAGTTCCCCGGAAATCTGAGTGACGAGCCCGCCAAGCTGGCCGACTTCGCTGCGGCCGTCTCCGCGGGTGAACTGCAGGAGATGCAGGAAGTCCTTGAATTGACTAATGTCGAGGAGCGACTGCCCAAGGCGTTGGTGGTGCTGAAGAAGGAGTTGATGAACGCACAGCTCCAGTCCAAGATCTCGAAAGACGTCGAAGCCAAGATCCAGAAGCGCCAGCGCGAGTATTGGTTGATGGAGCAGATGAAGGGGATCAAGAGGGAGCTGGGCATCGAGTCCGACGGCAAGGATAAACTGGTTGAGAAGTTCAAGGAGAAGGCGGAGAAACTTGCTATGCCTGAGGCTGTCAAGAAGGTGTTCGATGAAGAAATCAACAAGCTGGCCCACCTGGAGCCGGCTGCGTCCGAGTTCAACGTCACGCGCAACTACCTCGACTGGTTGACCCAGATCCCCTGGGGCCAGAAGAGCGTGGAGAACTTTGGCATCCAGCATGCGACGAGCGTTTTGGACGAGGATCACTACGGGCTGAAGGATGTCAAGGACCGCATTCTGGAATTCATCGCCGTCGGCAAACTCCGGGGGACCGTTGAAGGGAAGATTCTCTGTCTGGTCGGACCCCCCGGTGTCGGAAAGACGAGCATTGGCAAGTCCATCGCGCGGGCACTGAACAGGCAGTATTACCGGTTCTCCGTCGGAGGCCTGACGGACGTGGCAGAAATCAAGGGCCATCGTCGGACCTACGTGGGCGCCCTTCCTGGTCGCATCATCCAAGCGCTCAAGAAGTGCCAGACGGAGAATCCGCTGATCTTGATCGACGAGGTTGACAAGATCGGACGGGGCCACCAAGGCGACCCTTCGTCTGCGCTGCTCGAGTTGCTGGATCCGGAGCAGAACAACTCGTTCTTGGATCACTACATGGATGTCCCCGTGGATCTGTCCAAGGTTCTTTTCGTCTGTACCGCCAACATCACCGACACCATTCCCCGGCCTCTGCTGGACCGTATGGAGCTCATTGAGCTTTCGGGCTACGTTGCAGATGAGAAGATGGCCATTGCCGAACGGTACCTTGCGCCCGCTGCTCGGGAGCTGACCGGTCTCAAGGATGTTGACGTCACATTGAACGAGGAGGCCATCGAAGAACTCATCAAGTCGTACTGCCGTGAGAGCGGTGTCCGAAACCTGAAGAAACAGATCGAAAAGGTTTACCGGAAGGCCGCCTTCAAGATTGTCCGCGAGTTGGGCGAGGATGTCCTCGCCGAGGAGAAGGCCCTGACCGACGAGGGCAGGGCCGCCCAGAGCGAGGAGAAGAAGGAGGCCGAGTCCTCCGAGACGGAGCATGCCTCAGCTGACCCGGAGAAGTCGACGACCGAAAAGCCGCGGGTGGCGTTGCAAGTCCCTGACAGTGTACACATCAGCATCGGCAAAGACAGCTTGACTGACTATGTTGGACCTCCCATCTACACGGCTGACCGACTGTACGATACGTTCCCGCCCGGCGTGACCATGGGACTTGCGTGGACGAGCATGGGAGGCGCCGCGCTGTACGTGGAGTCGATCCTGGAGAATGCTCTGACGCACGAGTCCCGACCGGGCATCGAGATCACGGGCAACCTGCAGACGGTGATGAAAGAATCGACACATATTGCGTACTCCTTTGCGAAGTCCGTGATGGCGAAGCAGTTCCCCGAGAACCGCTTCTTTGAAAAGGCCAAGCTCCACATGCATTGCCCCGAGGGTGCGGTGCCCAAGGACGGTAAGATTTCTCCACCCGCGCGTTTTCATCTGAATTGTCCCACTGACAGATCACGCTAGGACCCTCGGCCGGTATCACCATGGCGACTTCGCTCCTGTCGCTGGCTTTGAATCACCCGCTCGACCCGACGATTGCAATGACGGGTGAGCTGACGGTGACCGGTAAGGTGCTTCGGATCGGCGGATTGCGCGAGAAGACCGTGGCAGCCCGTCGAGCTGGTGCCACCAAGATCATCTTCCCTGCCGACAACATGTCTGATTGGTTAGAGCTGCCTGAGGTGAGTCTCCATTTTAATTTTCTCTTCCCATATCTTATTCATTTATTTCCATGTACAAATCTAACTGGTGCAGAACATCAAACGTGGTATCGACGGCCATCCGGCCACCTGGTACTCCGACGTCTTCGATCTCCTCTTCGCCGATCTCGACAAGGGAACAGCCAACCAGATCTGGCGCAAGGAGCTGGCAGAGCCCACCAAGAAGAAGGCCAATGAGGACGAGCACGACGATTAAGTGATACCCTGTCCTATCTGGCGTGCTTCGGTATATACTTTATCGCCAGTTGTTCTCTTCCTTCTTGGGCTCTCCCCTTCCTACCTATTACGGTCACATACGGGCGTTTCGTGCGGAATGCATGGTCGGAGTTTTGTTTCATCTATTGGTTGCCTACTTGATTTTGTTATAATGCCTCCTGGTGGAATTCTCTTGGGGTTCTCGTCTCCCTGATATGGACGTTTGCCGATACCACTTGAGGAGTTTCACCTTCTAGTCGGGGTGATAAGTGCGACGATAGAATTTTCTCCTTTCTCTCTTCTCTTTTCTTTCCCCCAGTTTCCAATTCATGACCCCCTCCACTCCACTCTTCACAAAATGGAGATAAACCGATTATTTGACCGATGTATACCTGTTTTATCTATTTCATGTCATGTGGGTAGGTTGTTTGGTGTATGAGAAACCAGTAAGCTGGATAGGTATGTAGTGACACGTCTTTCTTGCATTTGGTGCCGTTGGAATGGATGGATAGATGCCTTGTCATCGATTCATTACCCCTTTACCCAACTATCTATTTACCGATCTATTTACATATTCTACCTTATCCTGTATGCAATGTGTCTATATATACATTTATGACGATATGCGACGCAGTATCTAGCAACGTAGTTCCCAAACGACGATGGTATCTACCTACAAAGCCAACGTGCCCGCCCCGCATTGCTTACTCCTAGTTGCTTAGTGTGTCGTCTCCACAAGCGACAACTGGAGAGAAGAATTGATCAGTAGGTGTGGGGGGTGGAGATCAAGAGTGATAGGTATGATATGGGGAAGAAAGACGTAGGTATTCGTTCGTTAGATCCACTGGGAGGAGGCTAGGGATTGATTGGTAGGTGGGATTGTGGGCTGCGGGGGTCCGAAGATAAAAAGAGGGTATATCGGATTGGATTTGGTTCTGTATGGAGTCGACTGACTGATTGATTTACTTGCTTTTGGTGTGATGTGTTTTGGGGGTATTGATATGGGGTGGGATTGGTGGGATTGGTGGTGGTGGTGGTGGTAGATAGGTATTATACCTACTTACCTACTTGATCTAGGTAGATAGATATCTATGATCTACCTAGGTGATGCTGGTGGTGTTATACTAGGTATCCATGTAGATAGGAAGTATGATTTGTGATGAGAAACCAATGATGTGGTGAGAGTGTAGTGTAGTGGTGGAAAGATAGGACATATCATAGACTGTACTACAGTTCATAGTGGTGGTGATGCACGTCTCCAGCCATAGGGCGAGGGCAAAGTGTTTACATCGATAAGTCAGTAGGTAGGTGTACCTGGTATACAGTACAGTATAGTATATCAGTAATCCACAGAGTCTACCAACAAGGTAGCACCTACTAGTCACTACCCTGCATAGTACCTAGATACCTAAGCAGTACTGATCCCCAGTACCTAGTACTTGAGATAAGTATGATTGGACGCACTTCCCGACCTGTCGAGTTGTCCAGTCCAAGCATCACTTTGAAAGTTAAATTTGGTAGGTCAGACAGACTCCATATAGGCTCAACGACATTCTTCAGCCAGTAGTTTGTCTGCAGTAGTCGTGGGCTTTCTACCAGTTAGGGGAGTGCCAGCGTGGCCGTCGGGGGGAGTAGGGGGGAGAGAGGCGGGGGTGAAGCGATACTCGGGTATCCGTAGATGGGTAGGTCGGGACTAAGCGATGGATTTTGTAGTGGATGGATGAGTGTTGAGTGGTGTGGGTTGATGAGAGTGGATGGATGCTATGTATTCTGTATTCTGATAGTATCTTGACAGTATTCTATCGACTTTTCTACTGCGGAGTGCTCTACTCTGTATTTCGTACCCTGTAGCCGTATAAAGGTTGATTAACTTATTCTAGATAATGTTCTGGTAGCGTGCTCGATACGGTCAAGGAACCCCTTCGAGAAGGACTGGAAGGAGTTGGGCTGTGCATCTGCAGGAGTGGAGTGGATGAGAGGTAGAGGTGATCACTGTTATTTGTTGTCAATTAGTCCTGAGTTTGGCTATATCGCCAATATCAATATACGAATCCTAACATTTGGGTCAACTATTGATAAAGGTATATGTACAATTACCTCTATACTCTGTCTAGATATCATCTATGAGAATAGTAATTAATACTGTTAGTGGATCGATCGCCGAATCTCCAACAGACCCATCTGTTTCAGGCACTATCAGGCCGCCGTGCATCTGGCCATTCCTATTCTTCTTATTTTTGATATTGATTTATTATAATCATAATTACAGTCGTAATTCTTATTATTATATTTGCTTATTGTTGTTATTATCTTATTCTTGACATGTTGATCTATTGATCCTCAATCCATCTCTGCCTCAGTCCATTTTCTCGACAGTAAGGAGTTTTCCTGCAGTTCTTCTCCATGCTAGTCTTCATAATACTGTCATCCTTTCTCTCTCTCTCTCTCTCCACTACATCTACATCTACAACTACAACACACGAATGATTAAGTCAACCAATCATCCCCGGTCGATTGACAGCCTGGGGTCTCCAGGTATAATCCAGGTAAACCAAACAACTAAAACCACATCGTCATCTTGTCATTCTCTCTCATCAACAACTCAATCACTCTCACCGACTTCTTCCTCTTCCCCTCCTCGTTCCTTCCATTGGTTCATCCTTTATATAATTTTAGTCCTGTCTCATCCATTCTATTTACTCTTTTTTTCCTCTCTTTTCCCCCTTCCTTCTCTCTCTCTTCCTTGCTGGGGGTTGTTTGACTCTCTCACTCTCTATCAGCACATAAGGTTGAGTCGGTTCTACACCAAAACCCGCCGGATTAATTTCCCTGCCACCGACTAATGATTCTTGTGCTCCTCTCCTCTCCGATAAACCCCCTGCTTGTCGGGTCCTTTTGATTGTTCTGTCTTGGCTCTGGGGGTTTTATTTCATTTGATTTTATTCTTGATTTTTTATTCTCATTTTTATTTGTTTGGTTTGAACTAATTTAAATTTTTTCTTCACCTTCTCTGTGCGTTGTTCCATCCTCCACACTTACTTGCTCTCTTTTTCCTCCTTCTCCTTCCTCTGTTTGTTTGTTTATCAATTTCTTATACTTGAAGTCTTCTTTGTCTTCACTTGTTTCCCTCTCGACCGCCCAATTGACCCCAAATTCAACAGTTGGGGGAGATCGACAGAAACAGAGGGTCCCAGATACACCACATCCGAAAAGAATCGCCAAAAGAGGATAGAAAGAAAAAGAAAACAAAAA